TTACTCGCCGCATTCACCTTGGCGTTACTCCCCATTTTGTGGTGTACCATCCACCAGCAAGGAGCTGTTTTGTTGTGACATCAAAGAAGGAGCCTTTTCGACCTCAAAGAGCTCCGTTTGACTTTCAATTAAACATTGTGTACGATGAAGAGTCGGGCGGTGTCCAGAGCATTACAACCGAGGCACCTGTATGTAACATGCCACCCATTGCCCCAAATGCAGGTATTCGTGTGCCAATGGCAGATCGATTTGAAATTCGCTTGATGTCTACCACAGACTGGGCTTGCACGGATACACTTCTCCTGGAAGAAAATGAGCGAGTACTAGGGGCACAAATGATGGAGATTCACTGTGAGAAGGATGCAGAGGGTCTTCATACGGCACCTGTCTGTGTCGTGAGTACAGCCTTCCCTCTTGGGGAAGATATTACCTGCAGGGGCCGCATTCTTCTTCTTGCAACAATGTGCACGAAGAAGAAGCGGAAGATTCTTCTTTTTCATTCGGAGCCTTTGAATGGCCCAGCCACCGCGGTTGTAGGGATTCGTCACCACATTGCCGTTGCCGTGGGTGGGACGATCAAGCTATTTCGCTTTGATTGGGAAAAAAGGAAACTAGTAGTGGGGGCTTTGCTGTATGCAGGGACTTATGTGACGAGAATGTCTTCTTTCCGCAACTACCTTATTTACGGAGACTTGTCGCGTTCTTGCGCAATTGCCCGCTTCAACGAGGAGAATCACACACTGAGTGTGCTTGGAAAGGATCGCAACGCCGTGTCGGTGGTTCATTGTGACATGATGTACCACGACCGTGCGTTCGGTTTGTTGTGCTCTGATGACGAGAGGAATTTGCTTGTGATGGGTTACACGCCACGTGTGCAGGAAACTGAGGCAGGGAGTCCGAACAAGGTGCTTGAGTCTGTCTTGTCGCTTGATGGGGAGTATCGTCTTTCTGGTGGCTGCTTGGTTAAGTCTCTGCGTTTCCGCTCCCTCGCTGGAAACTCCAGTGTCACGCTTTACGTCACCAACTATGGCGAGATTGGGTTCATTGTACCGATTGGCGAGCAGGCGAATCGGACGGCGTCATGGCTGATGCGTCGTCTTCAGATTGACCTGCCGCACAGCGCAGGACTCACCCCTCGAATGTTTCTTGGTTTGAGTCAAGGCTCGCCGCGGACGGCAATGCGGGCAAAGGAAATGCTCGTGTCTGCCTCGCTGCTGAACGAGTTCTTTTTTCTTGACATTCACTCGCGGAAGACCATTGCGTCTGCCGCCTACACGCAGTTGGAACGCGTCACCAACGTCGCTTCCCTCGTTTACGAAGAGTGCAATTTATTCTAACCGCTCGCTCCTTCTCTTACACTTCTCCTTTCACGTTTGTTTGTGTTTGTGTGTGCGTTCGTTTATACAACATAAGTTGGGTGGGGAGAATAAAAAGGAGACAGACAACAAACAAACAGAAGAGAAAAAAAAAAAATTCAGGGATTCCATCGAAGAGGAGGCGTAAGAGATGAATGGGTGTGACACATTAAAAATGTTATTGGATTTGTGGGACAAGATTGGGCGTTGTTCTTCTCTTTATGTTGTTTGTTTCTCCCTCTCTTGTAGTTGACTGCAAACGAAATTGGACGCCATCTTGCGTTGCTTCATCTTCTTCTTGTTGTTGTTGTTGTTATTTTTGTTTGTGTGTCCCAGCGAGACGGGAATAAGCGAAAACCGTGAGGGGAAAGATGCGCCGTTTTTCGTGCGCCATTTTTATCTCACACCGCTACGTCTCGGTTTTTAGGCCCCATATTCATTTGTCTCCATGCGTCATTTGCGACGCTGCAGCGGGGGATTCTCAGGAGACATTTGGCACTTCGCCTTCATGTGATTTTCCTCCGCCTAATTTTTTTCCACCACCGGATGTCAGGAATGACTGCGTCGTGGAACAGACAAGTCGCGGATGGTCCACCACTCTGGAAAGGCGAAGAGAGGGTTTGAAGAAATGGCTGCAGAAGGAACATGAGTGGGTCGGTGGGCATCGTATGGTAAATAGTGCGTACCTCGAGAGTTGCTGGGAGGCCTTCTGCAATCCCGCACGGACACTAACGAAGGACGAAATTGCAGGCACGATCGACTTTCTTGCTCAGTTCTGTGAGGTAAAATTGGATGATGTTCCCAGTGAAACTTCAGCTAGCTCAAATTCCATGCGTCAAGAGACGGAGCAACCGCAATGTCAGAATAGCGTCCCAAGCAGTGTTTGTCATGGGAAGGAGGAGATGTCTAAAAACGTCTTTCTAACTCACGTTCAAAGATCGATGTCGGCATTGGCAGACATTGAGCGGCAATTGCTCTTTCAACGCACACTTTTAGATTTTTTGTGTGTGACAAACTCTCTTAGTGTGCCACTTTTTTTGTGTTGTGGCACAGCGTTGGGAGCCCACCGTGAAGGGTACTTTATTCCCCATGATAATGACATTGACGTGGGTGTGTTCTATGAGGACTTGCAGCGACTCGGTGGGACGATGGAGGAGGATGCGCAGTCCGCTGTTGTTTCGCTATTATCACATGTGGCCTTGGACGGCCACTTTGTGCTGCTGGACATCTGCGGGACGGTGGAGAAGGGACTGGAGTTGCGTTTTTTGCATCATGAGACGCGAGTGGCACTTGACTTAAATGTGTACTACCCGCCTCTCGCTGAGGATGCGGCGCTCATCTCTCAGTTTGGCCCGTTTGTGTGGACGGCATCGCACTATGAAGACGCGGGTTCTCGTCGCCACGGCATGTACCGCTACCGTCACGCATCCTTCCGCGAGGCGCTGGTTCGTCTGCCATTCTGCGACCCCGCTGTGGCATCACGGGCCGACGGTTTTCTTGTGCCCCCCGTGTCGTATCTTGTGGAGTACTTTGGCGAGGACTGGCGGACGCCGAGGGCGTACACGTACACGGAGGGGCTGCAAAATGGGGAGTACAAGAACATCATCGAGGAATGAACGCCACTCCCTCCTCCCTTCTCTTTCCACGTTCTTCCGTGCCGAGCGAGTGCCACAGCAATTACAGTCGTACGTCCCCGACTGGCGACACAAGGCGACTTAATTATAATAAGAGAAGGAAAAAAATGCCGGTTGGGGAAGGGCAGTGTACGCGCTGATGAGAAGAAACGTAAAGGCACCGAGCAAAGAATGATAGTGTGAAAGGGTCTGTGAGTTTGTAAGGCGCTGCATTCTCGTGTTCTTTCGCCATATCTTTTACTCTTTTGTCTCTCTTTTTCTCTTGTGGGCGGGGAAGCACATACAATAATAGTGATAACAATATTTATTATAAATAATTAGCTTGATTGGGAAGGGTCCATTAAGAAAAAACAGACAAACATACAAATACGGGCAAACCACGTCTAAATAAGAGACAATAATAAAAAAGAAAAGAACGCAAGTCGTAAAAAAGACAACGACGGATCATAATTAATTTAGTGCGCCGTCATGTCAGCCTTCAATCCCGATGCGCCTGCGTTTATTCCGACATTTCTTCGTCGCACTGGGTCCAATGCCGTCGGAGAAGAGGAACTTAGCAACGAGGCGTCATCCCCATCCGCTAAGCGTCCTCTCGTCTTCCTCATCTTTGGTTGTCGTGGGGCGGGGAAGACGACACAAAGCGAGCTTCTCGCGAAGGAATACAATCTGCTGCATATCTCCTCCGGAAACATTTACAGGCAAGGGAAGCAGCCATTTGTGGAGCTGCGACGGGTCTTGTTAGAGGAATTTGGGGAGGGGAAAAAACGACGTTACAATGGTCTTGTGCTCGATCGCTTTGTTGTGAATAGCGAGTTTGATGCCTTTTACATACAGTCCGTCCTGGATGCCGTTAAACTTCCTGTTCCTTTTGTCTTTATGCTTGCTATAGATGCAAAATTGGCATCCAAGCGTGCAGAGTCACGTGAGGACAATAAGACGGCGCATCAATATTGGCGCGTGGTTGAGCAAAAGGCACAAGCCGTCACGCTCAACACAATCTATGCTCCGATTAGGTGTTTGAAGACTATTCAAGTCACTGAGGATGCCACCATCGAGGATGTCTTTGGAGAAATTAAGGCAGCAATTGGAACCCAGTTGCCGGCGAATCCTGAAGGTATTAAACTTTGCCCTGCCGCACGCCGTGAAGCAAAGGGCATGAAATTGATTGAGGATTATGAAACTTACATGGAACTTGTTTGTTGTGTGCATGCAGCTGTGGGAAATGTTTCGGGACGAAAGGACACAGCCCCATTATCCGGCATTGGCGCATATCTAGATAGAGAGTACTTCTCCTTTGGCCATAAAAATTTGCGCTCTTTATTGTCTACCTTTCATGTTACTTTAAAGGCCGATGGGCAACGTTATTTGTTGGTGAAGCACAAGCGTTATGGTTATATAGGATTTCCCGCTGCCTTCACACATTGTTATGATTTTAACAAATTATTTGATGGTGTTGAAATGAGTTGTGATTTTCCGCCGGAAACCCAAAAATTTATCACGGATAAAAAACACGACAAGTCGGTGGAAGTACTACTTGACACGGAGCTGGTGATACATGATGGAAACCCGGTGTTTTACGTGCTGGACTATTTGTATTTGGGGGGCCTGGAGGGGAAGAAGATGCGGTTTGAGGCCCGGCTAAAGATACTTCGGGAGTTCTTTGGTCGTCTAGCCTCTGTCACACAGGCGGTTGTTTTAAAGGACTATGTCCCGATCAATATGTTGAGAACGCTTCTTCCGAAATGGAAAGAGGCTAAAATGCCTATAGATGGTTTGGTCTTTCAGCACAACGATGTTTACAAGATTGGGAGAGACAGATTTCTTGTGAAGTGGAAGCCCATCGAACACTGCACCGTTGATTTTCGTTTGGCGAATGGAATACTGAAGGGGGACAGTTGGACCTTCGAACTTATGGTCACGGATGATATCTCAGCAAACGGTGGTTTTGGGGAAATTCCATACGAAGGTGCCCTCGCAATTATTCCATCAACGCTCGTACAGGAAAATGGTCTGTGCAATGGAATTATTGTTGAATTGGCTCTAAAAGATAGAAAAGAGACGAATGAAGGGGTGTCGTCACCCCAGACAACAACATGGTGGTCGTTTAGATGTCTGCGCAATGACAAACCCTCCCCGAATAAGCACAGTATTGTTAAAAAGATTGTGGATTTGAGGCATTTGAGCTTGGAGGAACTCGTTGATTTGTGTGAGAAGGTTCCGTTTTATGGGAGCACATGAGAATCGCGTTTTCATACACGTAGATATCCGTTTCACATGCGCACATAAATGCACACACATTGGATGAGAGGGAGGTGGGCGATGGCATGGGAATGAGAAATGTAGGTGACGGAGAGAGAAGGGGGGTGAGGAAAGGGAAACAAAACGGTTTTATGGATGAAAGTTGAATCTTTTTTTTTTTTTTTCTCATTTATTTCTCCTTTACCACCGTTGTTTATTATTATTATTATTATTATTCTTTTATGTTGCCTCCGCACCCATTTCGTTGCTGCAGACGAACTCCACGACAGGCTAGACAGACACAACACACACACACACACACAAACAAACATATATATATATATATATATATAATATTATTAAGGAAGAGGAAAAAGGAACCCCCAAAGGGAGAACCCTTCAGGATCAGGTTCAACACCCGCTAGTAACACAACCGGAAAGAAAGTAGCAGTATCCATGTCCCTAAATCCCAATGCAATGCCTTGGAATATGCCGGAATCCGGCATCGATCCAGTCATGGATACAAACACAAGGATGGGACAGCAGGACCCTCGCTTCCATGGATATCCATCGTATTATCCCAATCATCATGCACACCAAATGCCACCGGTGATGATACCCCACCAGATGCCGCGGCACATGATGGGACATGGATTTTCCAACCCGAACCACATGCCACCCATGCCTCAGAATGAACCAGTGCAATCGTACAACCATCCAAGAGCACGATCACAACAATATAACGCAGGGATCATGAATCCAATGCATTCCGTTTCAACCCCTTCTTATAAAAAGCTAAGACCTGTTATTGTTGTATTTGGTTACCGACGTGTAGGAAAAACAACGGTGGCAAAACGAATATCAGAAGCTCGCAACTACAAATATATTTCATTGAAACCCAAAGAGGAGGGCGCTGTTGTTTCCCCTACGGATTACGTTGCCCCTCTGGTAGAACTTCTCTCCCGCAAGAATTCGTTTGAGGGGATTGTTATTGATGATATTGTGGTAAGAAACAAATATGAGCCTTATTATGTCCACTCTCTTCTGCAGAAACACAATCTAAAGTTTGATGTTATTGTTGTTCTTGACAATGACTTGGATAACACAAAGGAGAGGGGCGTTGACTACGACGATTCACTACAACGGCAGCTTCACCCCGAGAGCTATGAGTTTTGTGCGAGCTATCTTCAAGGTGAGCCGACCCTTGTGGTGGAGTGCCGAGAAAAAACGTTGGATGAAGTAGTGACCGACGCTCTGCGACAATTGGGAGAAGTAAATTTCACAAAAGACTCCAACATCTCACTTAAGGGAGTGGAACTGATGCCCAGTTGCCCCTTGGAACGAAACGCCGCTCTGGTAACAGCCATTCTGGATGCGCAAACGCAGCAGTTGAAGTTGAGCGAAGGATCGCTATTTCCGTTCTCGGAACCAAATTATTTGTTAGAGTATGCAATTTTCGCCCGTTATGCGTATGCCTTTCGCAGCTACATGATCACTCCCTGGATTCAAGGGGATAAAGTCTCTTTGATTGGGTACCAAGGTGCTGTGTACGTGCACCTTCCAAGCTACAACATTGTCTTCTACTTTATAGATGCGCCATCGACTTTAACGCAGTTGGCCAAAGGAAACGTGGAAAACAATGAGGTTGGGTTTATTTTTGAGGCCACGTTTGCCGGTGATAAATTGTACATATCTGACCTTCTCATGATGGGTGAAATGAAGGCGTCAGAAATGCTTGTTAATGAGCGAGTGGAACTCTTAAAGAAAAAACTAAAAGACATGAATAGCAGCACGGTGGAGTTGCTTCCCTGGTATCCTGTGCAATCGATAGAGGCGTGCGAGTCGGAAAATCCACAGGCAGCTGGTGTCCTCTTTGTCAACCCGGATGGTGTCATGTTTGGCGGGTATGACAGCCGAAACTTTCTGTACCCTCTGCAGCGGAAAAAATCTGTTGAACTTCGTGTTTGGAATGGCAACTTTGTCGGTGACTCATGGACATTTGACGCTTTCTGCGAGGAAATGGGAAATGAGAATATTGTGGAGGGTATCCCTGTCCATGTTCCCGACACGGAGGTCACTCAACATTGCATCAACGACGGAAACATCTTGGAGTGTATTCGCCAAGACTACCACGCGGGGCCCAATAAAGGACGACGGGGAGCCAAACGTTTTGTCTTCCAGGGACGGTGCCAATGGAAGGTCCGGCCCACAACAATGTTCAAGCAAGAAGTCTTTGTAAGTGATCCCAAGTGGCCATTTGAACGTATGGCTCAGGCCTGCGCGTCTGTAAAGCACATTCCGCCCACGCGGCCAGAAGGAATTACAACCGCGGATGGATAGAGCCTCATTTCCCGCTTCACCCCGCCTTGAAGGCAGTAAGAAAACTAAAAATAGGAACAAAAAGAAAACCGACACGATAGAAGCCGTATTTTTTTTGTTTTTGTTTTTTTGTTTCTTGTTTCGGGGACTGTGCATCCCATGTGCCTGTGATGAACGTCACGTTCTTGTTGGCTTGGCTACTAGACCAGCCGACAAGGAAGAGTCCCCTTTTTTCTGCCGTGGCCACTACGTCTTCCTTTTTTTTTTTTTTTTTTTGTTTGTTTGTTTTCCTTTCGTTTCTGCTTGGCCGAGCCCTGTGAGAGCTCTAATAAGACGAAAGGATACTAATAAGGCAATCCCTGCAACAACAACAACAACCCCCACTACTCCCGATAATAAACGAATACGTCCAATGAAGCCACTTTGCGGAGTTCTGTTTACGGTGCTCTTTGCGTTGTGCTTTGCGCTTTGCAGTGCCGAAAATGTTCCCAACGCCGGAACCATTCAAATGACCGAAACCGTTTCCAACACCGAAACTATTCCCAACGGCGAAACTGTGGTAAAGACTGAAACCGTTTCCAGCACCGAAACTGTTGTCACGACCAAAAATGTACCCACTGCCGCAAACGTTCCCCACGACGCCGGGCCGGATCGCTTGTCGCTGTCTTTGGCCACGAGGGAAAGACTGCCGACAAGGGAGGACAGGACAAGGGCTGATGCAGTTGCCAAGTGGATCCACGACCGAATAAAGATCAATAAGCAGCAAAGTGGCATTGGTGAACCGACGTTACATATTTCATCCGCAGACAGCAGTTCCGGGGGATCCACATGTTTTTTCACCCCTCTTTTGCTAATGACCGTGCTTGCTTCAACCCTCATGAGCTAACCGGCATGCCTAAGCACGAGTTCTTTTTTTTTTTTCCGCACCGACGTTAAAACTTCGGGTGCCAGTCTTTTCGTTCTTTTTTTTTTTTTTTTCTTTCTTTCTTTTTTTTTTTTTGTGTGTATGTGTTTGTTTTTCTTTTTTTCATTCTTTTTTTTTTTTTCCGTTTGTTTCGGCTGATTTGAGTTGTGCTCCATAACTTTTTTGTTTTTTTCAAACTTGCGACTTCTGCTTGTGTGTGTGTTTTTGTTTGTTTTTTTTTTTTTTTTTTTTGTTTTTTTTTTGTTCAGGCTAAAAGGTAAAGAAAAAAAAGCGAAAAAATTTTGGGAAAAAAAGAAAAGTGTTTGGGTAAAAATCTGCAATTCCATACCACTATTAAGTAAACGTGAACACAAATACGTCTCTTCCTGGTAAGTAATGTGCGGTAATAAATCGAAAGAAATAAATGAGATTTTTAAGCGTCTCCTTCTTTCTTTCTTTTTTTTTTTTTTTTTCTTTTGGAGCGTCTGCGAGAGCACCGGTGGGTCTTTTTTTTTTTTTTAGTCGACATTTTCTCACGGGCTTGGCGGGAGAAAATGGGGCATACTTCACCAGCGCCCGGCGAACATGCCAAGCAACAACGATAATAATGCCTTCTCTCCCATCTATCATTGTGAAGCTTGGCGCAAAGCATATTTGTTTAGGGAAAGATTTATGGGCGGACTCGTGGATTGGACGACATTCACGAGACAGACACGCCCACGACCACATTCTGAGGCGGAGTGGTCCAGCGGCACTTTCTTGACTTTCTCTTTGCCCAGCGAATAACCCGCCATTGAGCCACCACGTGGGCGGCGTTCCCACCATTAGCGGGCGGCGAATTCGTTGCAAGGCGGTTCCAGGACAACGGCATGAATTGCACCTCGTTGCGACACTCTGTCGCTGCCATCACAGCGCCGAGGAACCCTGAGTCCATTCGAGCCTCTCTGAAGAGGAAGAAGCACACCACTGTTTGGAGCAATTGCGCGGCACCTGAGGGAAGGCAGTTGGCGCTGCAGCGCCCATATGAGTGCGCTTGGGCTCAGTTGAAGGCTAAAATACTGAAATGCAGCTCAGATGCCCACGCGCAGTTCCAGGCGGTGCGGATTCGATTGGCGCCGATGCAAAGGTCGCTCATGGCCCTCAATGGGACGACAACTTGGCGACCATCAGCACTCAGCCAGGCCCGTCACAAGTCTCCACCGCTTCTGCCACGGGAAGAAGGAATGCGTCCGATACTGCAGAGACAATCGGAAGATCCTACAAATTCATGACGTGCCAGAGGGATTAGAGCTGTCACTCGGCCCACGGGGCACACAGGGGCCCAAGCGGGGAATCCGTGGGAGGCAGGGATTTGTCCGGAGGATCGCGGTCGCACCATTTGACGGCGTATTGGAATGCATAATGTGTGCAACGCCTGGCCACAGCTCCTGGATGCGTCTTGGGTCACCTTTCCGACGCCGGCTGCGCCAGGCCCCGGCATGCAGACAGCCGTGGGGAGAGCGGTGCGCCCTGGGTGTGCGCTATTCGCGAGGAAGAGATGCTTACGGAATCGTGCCAGTTGTCAGGGCGACTGCGTACACTCAGTCATATGGATCCTCCGGACAGTGAATAACGATGCTGGAGTGCGGTTCGAGGACATTCAGGGTGCTATCGAGGTGCCCAGAAATGGGACCGCCCATTCCCCCAGGCATATCGGAGAGCAAAGAAAGAGCATGCCGCACCCCCGCCCAATGAAGCACGATGCTGCGATCGTGGTTGGATTGTACAATGCAACACGGCGTGCCGAGTGAAGCTGCGCAAGGAGGCCTATAAACACACAAAAAAGTACTTTCGGCTCCGGAAGCAACGACTTCGGGGCGCGCACAGGTGGGGCATCACCATCAATTTCCGGGTGCGGCCGCTCGGCATGGTTTTTCTCTCAACGCTGCGCTCGTGGTGATGCCGTGGGATACCTCCCCAAGACGTCGTGCGGTTGACACTGTTGGTGGAAACGAGTTGGCGCACCGGGCGACGGTGCTGTGGGCACAATTGTCGCCGGGGAAGGACGGCACACGACCATCTTTTCTGAGGGCCACAGCATCGTTTGGCGCACCCATAGCCGTCGGGTTGCGTTGCGGGAGGAGAAGGAGGATTGCCTGCCCCGGCGAAGAGTGGACGTGTGCACTTTTACTCCCTGAAGTGGATCCGACGGCGGATGAATCCAACGGCACGCGACTGTGTTGACGATTCGTGGAAGGACACTGTGTTACGATCCGTCATTTAGACGAGCGATGGGAACGAATTGAATTTGAGGATCTCCGCACAGCATGCGCTGCTTGTGAGAAAGGCAGGTAGTATTTGTGAAGCGTTGGCAGGGACCGTCGCAGGATGGTCTGGCGGTGCCTTTTGCGGCGGTGTTGGACAAGCCGTCAGGACAGAGATGGCGGTTCATCGCATGGCCAAAGGCAAGGAACGCCCATGAGGACGCTGAGGTAACGTTTGCTCTGCCATTTCACATTTCACAGTATCTTAGCGCAATGTGGGACGAAACCGCCGCTTTGGTGGATTTGGATGTGTCTTTTTACAGGCGGTTCTTTTGGCGGATACGCACGGGCGAGTTTCGGCTGTCGAGTGGGATTTGTGGATCTCGTGGAATCGACTCGCCCCCACACGAGCCACGAATGCTGTCCGGAAGTTCCCGCACCACTGCGAGGGTCTTGGCGGAGGACCCCGAGATGGTAAGACCGCAGTCTGTGGTGCCGCGCGTGGTAAGGGCACCTGTTTGGGTTTGCGGTATCCGAACCAGCGGGCTGCGGAGGAGCGTGGTTCGGCGGGGCCAATGTGCGGCCAAGAAGTGGCGCCAACAGGAGAACAGGAGGCTCTCGCCAAGTGGTGTGAATCTATTGGTGTATCCTTAAGCCGCGAGACGAAGAGCGCCGCCTTGAGGCACGATGCGAAGACGAGGATTGAGGGAGGCCGCGTTTCTCCGAACGCCTGCAGCTGAGGGTGTGGATGGTGTGGCCTCCGTATGATGCTGCGCGGCGGTGCGGGGGATTCTCTCTTTTGACATTAGCTCTTGTTTTTTCAACATATTGCATCCCCGACTGTCGTGTCCTCACGATCCCGCAGACATGCCGCCATACGCACCGAAAGTGGGGCGGGAGCGACCCCGCAAATTGCCGGAGAAGGAGCTCGTTTGCCTTGGGGCAGCCTCGCCAGCTCCTGCCATGTTGGCGACAGACGCGTCCATGCACGGATGGAGCGGTTTACTGCTTTGGGGCGGGGGAATTGTTGGCGGCTGGCGGCGCGCGGGAACGGGTGCCAAACACAATTCGCCCGCCGACGAGACCCCGATGGGATCACCACTGGTGGAGTTTCGCTGCCCAACATGTGGCTTTTAGCACTAAAGCAATGACGGACCGACCCGCCACCGCACGGCACGCCACGGGCATCAAGCAAACATCGTGAAAACCGGCGAACGTGAATTTTGCGATGAAGCAATTCCGCATCCACTCCGCTGCCCGGCGCTGCCGGCAATTAGACAAAACATGAGGCGGACACTTGGAAATTGGGGAAGCTGTGCCTCACGAAAAGGGTTGGCGCAGTTTTCCCGCCTGGGTGGAAAGGCTCTGCCCCCCAACATTGCCTCTGCGCGGCGAGAAGGCGCGAAGCTTCTCGAAGATGCGGCATAACGTCGATGCTGGTGGCAGGCGCCTTCTCACTTCTCATTATTGATCAATTATTTGGTTGGTTGATTTATGGTTTTGTTATTGTGCTGATTATCGGCAGCGATGGATTATTGAGCCACGGCGCTATTCCGGGGCGGAGGCGTGATATGATCGTGTTTCACGCCCTCCGCAGCGGCGGCAACTCCAGGGCAGGGGCTCTCCTTCACAATTGGCCGCGACTCGGTTGTGGCCGCCTATTCTTTTCCCTACGACAACCCCAAGCCACGCCGCCCGTCGCGGAGGACAGCGCGCACAACAAGAAAAAAAACGACACGCCGCACAAATGTTTATTTTATTTTGTTCCGCCCGCACACAGCAGCAAAAGGGAAACAACAGACCAACAAATACGCCGCGGGTGACGAAAAAAAGAAAAAGAATAGGCGTTCATTCATTACTTTCGCCGTCCCCTCCTTCCGCTGGCCGCCAACGGCATACGCTTGCCCCCCCCACAATCCGCCGCAGGCAGGGACCATACAAAGAACCCACAAAAGCACCGCAAACAGACGGTGTTGCAACGCCGCTGGTGTGACAGCAACGCAAAAAGCAGGAGCGCCCCACACAACAGCCTCCAACGCACACAAAATGGGTGAAGGGTGGCGGAGGGAAGTCAGCACCAAAGATCAACAGAAATAGCATGAAGCGGAAGCAGTGCACCCTCCATTATGCCAGCATCAAATGCCATCGCTCCAGCAAACATCCTCCTCCCCAGACGGGCGCACATCGCCACAAACCTCCAAACGCACCGGCCACATGCACGTTCTCCAGCAACACAGCAGCGTCAAGTTGGAATGCCACACCTCCACAATGCCTCCACCAGTGCAGGCGCCATCACGACGCAGAGCATGTGCAAATCACCATCACAAACTGTAGAGTCGCCTAACGCTGTGGAGTCGTCCCGCAAGAGAATGGGAAAGAAAAAAAAAGGAGAATGCCGCCAAAGCACACACAGCTAAGCCACAGTATCAAAAGCCAAAAAGCAAACCAGCAGCGCACAAACCATAAGACAGATGGAATCAGTACGAAGGCAAAAGTCGCACAACGCCCCGCACAAAAGCCAGAAAAAAAAAACATCTACGCCCAAGACCCCAAGTGAGCATCCACTCATCCACAAGTGTCCGTCCACGAAAACAGTCGTGTGCGCGTCACGCATATGAGTGTTTCTGAAATACGTTCAACGAGACGAACGTGGAGAGCAACACGGAGCTCACAGCAGTATAGATAAAATAAAAATAAATAAAAAAAGGCATACTGTAAATTTTTCTCTGATAATACATCGGACCACAATGGACGCGCACATGTCCACGCGGCTGAGTGCTGACACTCATGAGTCGCGCCTCGCCTCAGCCCAGAGCGGTGTACGCCAGCGCGGATGCGGCGAGCGCCAGCGGGGCACTCACCCACGCAGAGCTGCTGAGGCTGCCGTCATTCTTATTTGAGGAGGCTTCTGCTTCACCTGAAGAAGCCCCCGGTTGAGATGGAGCTTCCCCTGTAGCTGGTTTATTTTCCGTACCAGAAGGTGGGGTAGAACTAGTAGACCCACCATTCGCTGTCGTGCACGCAGTTAGGCAGCAGCACAGGGCAAGCGCCAACAGGGCGCACAGCAGACGGCACGTAGTCATTATTGGTCGTTGTTATGGATAGCTTGGAAGATGTTTAACTTCTTTTGCCTTGCGGTGGGGCAGAGGAGAGAATGAAGAGAAATGCATGTTGACGGAGACGCACCCACGCACTTGAGGGTGAGGCGTCGGCATCACAGTTACAGCAAAGCGAAGCGAACCTCTGCAACGGACGTACGGCTCCAGAAACTGCATGTGTGCATCGCCAATTTATGCTCGCTCCTTTGCGCGCCGTTTCTTCCCGAGCCAAAGCCCCAACGCGGAGGCTGGTTTGATGCAAAAAAAAAAGAAACAAGGAGACGCATCCCCCAATGAGGAACAGAGGTGAAATAATAATAATGATAAGAAGGCAAAAGCCACACGCCGTCTTTTCGTTTTTCCTCCCCGCTCCCTTATATTACCCGGAATTGTGGCCGAAACAAAAGCGTCAGCGTAAGCCGCATGATGCCCCGCCGGCCTCATATGCAAGCACGCCATCAATCACTCGTTTGCAAGGGCGCCTCCTTTATCTTCCGTTTACGCTGCCTGGCCCCCTCGTCGGAGTAATAGAGGCGGCCACTCTTTGGATCCCCAAGTCCCCTCCACGCCCCGCCCGCACGAGGCGCGCCCTTTCCTTTGAACGAATTCCTCCCTGCGCTTCGCGCTGCTCCCACCGAGGGGCTGCGCCACCCTTCTTCATTTCAAGAGCCTCGGGCGGCGGTTTCTCCCCCGTCTCCCGCGCAACCGTCCGCCTGTCGTATTTCCACCCCGTCTCTCGCTGGCGCGGCTCCTCCCAGTTGCCGCACAACACGCCACTACTTCCTGCCGGTGTCGCTGCGCATGCCTTCAACGCCTTTGTCGCAGCAGCAGCAGCAGCAGCAGCGGCGGCAACTCCAGGGCAGGGGCTTCTCTTCACAATTGGCCGCGACTCGGTTGTGGCCGCCTATTCTTTTCCCTACGACAACCCCAAGCCACGCCGCCCGTCGCGGAGGACAGCGCGCACAACAAGAAAAAAAACGACACGCCGCACAAATGTTTATTTTATTTTGTTCCGCCCGCACACAGCAGCAAAAGGGAAACAACAGACCAACAAATACGCCGCGGGTGACGAAAAAAAGAAAAAGAATAGGCGTTCATTCATTACTTTCGCCGTCCCCTCCTTCCGCTGGCCGCCAACGGCATACGCTTGCCCCCCCACAATCCGCCGCAGGCAGGGACCATACAAAGAACCCACAAAAGCACCGCAAACAGACGGTGTTGCAACGCCGCTGGTGTGACAGCAACGCAAAAAGCAGGAGCGCCCCACACAACAGCCTCCAACGCACACAAAATGGGTGAAGGGTGGCGGAGGGAAGTCAGCACCAAAGATCAACAGAAATAGCATGAAGCGGAAGCAGTGCACCCTCCATTATGCCAGCATCAAATGCCATCGCTCCAGCAAACATCCTCCTCCCCAGACGGGCGCACATCGCCACAAACCTCCAAACGCACCGGCCACATGCACGTTCTCCAGCAACACAGCAGCGTCAAGTTGGAATGCCACACCTCCACAATGCCTCCACCAGTGCAGGCGCCATCACGACGCAGAGCATGTGCAAATCAACATCACAAACTGTAGAGTCGCCTAACGCTGTGGAGTCGTCCCGCAAGAGAATGGGAAAGAAAAAAAAAGGAGAATGCCGCCAAAGCACACACAGCTAAGCCACAGTATCAAAAGCCAAAAAGCAAACCAGCAGCGCACAAACCATAAGACAGATGGAATCAGTACGAAGGCAAAAGTCGCACAACGCCCCGCACAAAAGCCAGAAAAAAAAAACATCTACGCCCAAGACCCCAAGTGAGCATCCACTCATCCACAAGTGTCCGTCCACGAAAACAGTCGTGTGCGCGTCACGCATATGAGTGTTTCTGAAATACGTTCAACGAGACGAACGTGGAGAGCAACACGGAGCTCACAGCAGTATAGATAAAATAAAAATAAATAAAAAAAGGCATACTGTAAATTTTTCTCTGATAATACATCGGACCACAATGGACGCGCACATGTCCACGCGGCTGAGTGCTGACACTCATGAGTCGCGCCTCGCCTCAGCCCAGAGCGGTGTACGCCAGCGCGGATGCGGCGAGCGCCAGCGGGGCACTCACCCACGCAGAGCTGCTGAGGCTGCCGTCATTCTTATTTGAGGAGGCTTCTGCTTCACCTGAAGAAGCCCCCGGTTGAGATGGAGCTTCCCCTGTAGCTGGTTTATTTTCCGTACCAGAAGGTGGGGTAGAACTAGTAGACCCACCATTCGCTGTCGTGCACGCAGTTAGGCAGCAGCACAGGGCAAGCGCCAACAGGGCGCACAGCAGACGGCACGTAGTCATTATTGGTCGTTGTTATGGATAGCTTGGAAGATGTTTAACTTCTTTTGCCTTGCGGTGGGGCAGAGGAGAGAATGAAGAGAAATGCATGTTGACGGAGACGCACCCACGCACTTGAGGGTGAGGCGTCGGCATCACAGTTACAGCAAAGCGAAGCGAACCTCTGCAACGGACGTACGGCTCCAGAAACTGCATGTGTGCATCGCCAATTTATGCTCGCTCCTTTGCGCGCCGTTTCTTCCCGAGCCAAAGCCCCAACGCGGAGGCTGGTTTGATGCAAAAAAAAAAGAAACAAGGAGACGCATCCCCCAATGAGGAACAGAGGTGAAATAATAATAATGATAAGAAGGCAAAAGCCACACGCCGTCTTTTCGTTTTTCCTCCCCGCTCCCTTATATTACCCGGAATTGTGGCCGAAACAAAAGCGTCAGCGTAAGCCGCATGATGCCCCGCCGGCCTCATATGCAAGCACGCCATCAATCACTCGTTTGCAAGGGCGCCTCCTTTATCTTCCGTTTACGCTGCCTGGCCCCCTCGTCGGAGTAATAGAGGCGGCCACTCTTTGGATCCCCAAGTCCCCTCCACGCCCCGCCCGCACGAGGCGCGCCCTTTCCTTTGAACGAATTCCTCCCTGCGCTTCGCGCTGCTCCCACCGAGGGGCTGCGCCACCCTTCTTCATTTCAAGAGCCTCGGGCGGCGGTTTCTCCCCCGTCTCCCGCGCAACCGTCCGCCTGTCGTATTTCCACCCCGTCTCTCGCTGGCGCGGCTCCTCCCAGTTGCCGCACAACACGCCACTACTTCCTGCCGGTGTCGCTGCGCATGCCTTCAACGCCTTTGTCGCGCAGCAGCAGCAGCAGCAGCAGCGGCGGCAACTCCAGGGCAGGGGCTTCTCTTCACAATTGGCCGCGACTCGGTTGTGGCCGCCTATTCTTTTCCCTACGACAACCCCAAGCCACGCCGCCCGTCGCGGAGGACAGCGCGCACAACAAGAAAAAAAACGACACGCCGCACAAATGTTTATTTTATTTTGTTCCGCCCGCACACAGCAGCAAAAGGGAAACAACAGACCAACAAATACGCCGCGGGTGACGAAAAAAAGAAAAAGAATAGGCGTTCATTCATTACTTTCGCCGTCCCCTCCTTCCGCTGGCCGCCAACGGCATACGCTTGCCCCCCCACAATCCGCCGCAGGCAGGGACCATACAAAGAACCCACAAAAGCACCGCAAACAGACGGTGTTGCAACGCCGCTGGTGTGACAGCAACGCAAAAAGCAGGAGCGCCCCACACAACAGCCTCCAACGCACACAAAATGGGTGAAGGGTGGCGGAGGGAAGTCAGCACCAAAGATCAACAGAAATAGCATGAAGCGGAAGCAGTGCACCCTCCATTATGCCAGCATCAAATGCCATCGCTCCAGCAAACATCCTCCTCCCCAGACGGGCAAACATCGCCACAAACCTCCAAACGCACCGGCCACAT